TTGCGGATGAGAGTGAGGGGGTGGCGAGGACGTCGTCAGTCTGCGAGGCTCTGAAGAAGCCCGCCGCAGGCGCCTAACTTTTTCAAATTGTGCAGTGAGCCCGCCGCAGGCGCCGATTTTTTCGTTAAAGCAATGTGGGTGGATCGCGGGGTGGGTCGCGGGTGGGTCGCGGGTGGTCGCGGGCCGGTCGCGGATGCGGGGTGGGTCGCGTATTGGTCGCGGTGGGTCGCGGGTGGGTCGCGGGGTGGGTCGCGGGGTGGTCGCGGGTCGCGGGTGGTCGCGGGGTGGGTCGCGGGGTCCGGGGTGGGTCGCGGGTGTGTCGCGGGGTGGTCGCGGGTGGGTCGCGGGGTGGGTCGCGGGGTGGGTCGCGTATGTGGTCGCGGGGTGGGTCGCGGGGTCGCGGGTGGGTCGCGGGGTGGGTCGCGGGTGGGTCGCGGGTGGGTCGCGGGTGGGTCGCGGGGTGGGTCGCGGGGTGGGTCGCGGGCGCGGGGTGGTCGCGGGTGGGTCGCGGGCCAGGTCGCGGATGTGTCGCGGGTGGGTCGCGTACCTATGGGTCGCGGGTGGGTCGCGGGGTGGTCGCGGGGTGGGTCGCGGGTGGGTCGCGGGGTGGGTCGCGGGCGGGTCGCTGGGTGGGTCGCGGGCCAGGTCGCGGATGTGTCGCGGGTGGGTCGCGTACGGGTCGCGGGATTGGTCGCGGGGTGGGTCGCGTATGGGTCGCGGGGTGGGTCGCGGGCGGGTCGCGGGGGGGACGACGACAATAATAACAACAAGCATAATCCCCACCACGGATCCTCACTACAGCCAAGCACCCAGGGACAATGAATGACCGCTCGGCTCCCTCACTCTGATTTGTCTCCATGGGGAGGTGCAGGTTGGGAACGGCTCGATGTTGCTGGCTGAGTCGCCAGCGCCAGATGACGGGAAGCGCACGTAGACTCGACGGTTCACGCGTTGGATGCCACAGGCTTGGAGGGAAATGCCGTAGCACCCCGCAGTTGCGGATAAGAGTGAGGGGGCGGCGAGGACGTCGTCAGTCTGCGAGGCTCTGAAGAAGCCCGCCGCAGGCGCCTAACTTTTTCAAATTGTACAGTGAGCTCGCCGCAGGCGCCGATTTCTTCGTTAAAGCAATGTGGGTGGATCGCGGGGTGGGTCGCGGGTGGGTCGCGGGCCAGGTCGCGGATGTGTCGCGGGTGGGTCGCGTATGGGTCGCGGGTGGGTCGCGGGGTGGTCGCGGGGTGGGTCGCGGGGTGGGTCGCGGGTGGGTCGCGAGGTGGGTCGCGGGTGGGTCGCGGGGTGGGTCGCGGGGTGGGTCGCGGGGTGGGTCGCGGGTGGGTCGCGGGGTGTGTCGAGGGGTGGGTCGCGGGGTGGGTCGCGGGCGGGTCACAGGGTGGGTCGCGGGGTGGGTCGCGGGGTGGTCGCGGGGTGGGTCGCGGGGTTTGTCGCGGGGTGGGTCGCGGGGTGGGTCGCGTGTGGGTCGCGGGTGGGTCGCGGGCGGGTCGCGGGGTGTACGACGACAACAACAACAAGCATAATCCCCACCACGGATCCCCACTTCAACAACAACAAGCATAATCCCTCCACAGATCCCCACTTCAGCCATGCACCCAGGGACAATGAATGACCGCTCGGACCCCTCACTCTGACTTATCAACTGGGGAGGTCCAGGAGGGGAACGGCTCGCGGATGACGGGAAGCGCGCTTATCATCGAAGAGTCGCGCGATGGACTTCGTCTCTCGGCCTGGAGAGACATACTTGTATCAATTGAGGAGGTCCAGGAGGGGAACGGCTCGATGTTGCTTTCTGAGTCGCTTGCGCTGGATGACGGGAAGGGCGCTTAGACTCGAAGAGACGCGCGATATATGCCGTTTACAGGCTTGGACGGACATGTTTATCACTTGGGGAGGTCCAAGAGGAGAACGGTTTGCGGATGGCAGCAAGCGCGCTTAGATTCGAAGATATTCGAAGAGTCGCGGGATGAACGTCGTCTCTCGGCCCAGAGGAAATACTTGTATCAACTGGGGAGGTCCAGGGGTGGAACAGCTCGGGATGGCTTCCTGATCCGTTGCGGTCGGATGTCGGCAACGTAGCCGTTTCGCCTGAGACATCCCCATCAAATTGTTCTGTCGGAGGTTATCGTTGACGATGTCTTATGTTACGCGTCAGTGTTTCGCTTGAGACATCCTCAGGACATGGTGATGTTGGAATTGCTGGCGTGGGTTTCGGCTCTTCGAAATGGCGCTTTCGCCTGACACACCCTTTAAACGAATGCGATGACGCATGCTATCGTTTACGACAATGTTTCTGAACAAATAGCATTTCGCTTCAGAGAACGTCACAACATATGGATGTTGTAATCGTTGGCGTAATCGTCGGTCCTTCGAAAATGATGCGTTCGCCTGAGACATCCTCGAAGCAGAGAGGTATCAGAAGGGTTCTTCGTCGATGTCTTCTTGTATTTGCCTGGGAGAGCCCCCCAAAAGGGCCGAAGATGCGAAATCGTTACCACTGCTGTTCAAACGTAAACGTGTTGCTCGAGACATTCTAAAAACATTCCTGCGGACGGGTCTTCGAAAACGTAATGATATGATGAAGATGCGAAGTATCATGATGACGATGCCAACGAAGATGATGATGACGATGATGATGAACGTCGATGATGATGATGTTGGTGATGATGATGCTGATGCTGATGCTGGTTATGATGATGATGATGATGATGATGATGATGATGGTGCTACTGTTGATGATGCTGATGATGCTGATGCTGACGCTGATGCTGATGCGGATGGTGGTGATGCTGCTTATTAATATGGTGCTTATGATTATGCTGATGATGATGCTGATATTGTTGATGCCGGTGATGATGCTTCTGCTGCTGATGATGATGATGCTGATGATGCTACTGATGATGATGATGATGCTGATGATGATGCTGATGATGTTGATGCTGCTAATGATGCTGCTGATGATGGTGATGGGTGCTGCTGTTGATGATGACGTTGCCGATGCTGCTGATGCTGATGTTGATGCTGCTGATGGTGATGCTGACGAATTTTCGTAGTTTGGTTACTTTGGTGGTTCTGATAGTGCTGAGGTTGTTGCTGATGCTGATGCTGATGTTGATGCTGATGTCGATGCTGATGCTGATGACGACGACGACTACGACGATGATGATGGTGATGATGATGATGGTGTTGGTGCTGCTGCTGATGATGATGATGGTAACGATGCTGATGTTGATGACGACAATGCTGATGCTGATGATGATGATGATGAGGACGATGATTATGATGATGATGATTATGCTGATGATGGTGTTGGTGCTGCTGCTGCTGGTGATGATGATGATGACGATGCTGATGTTGATGACGACAATGCTGATGCTGATGATGGCGATGATGATGAGGACGATGATGATGATGATGCTGATTATGATGATGATGGTGTTGGTGCTGCTGCTGATTATGACGATGCTGATGCTGATGCTGATGCTGCTGATGATGATGTTGATACTGATCATTCGTAGGGTGCTTATGGTGATGCTGATGATGTTGCTGCTGTTGCTAATGCTGATGCTGATGCTGATGCTGATGCTGATGCTGATGCTGATGCTGATGCTGATGCTGATGCTGATGATGACGACGATGATAATGATGCTGAAGGTGATGCTGCTGATGATGATGTTGATGCGGAGGATGATGATAATGATAATGGTGATGATGCTGCTGATGCGGATGCTGATGCTGCTGTTGCTGCTGCTGCTGCTGCTGATGATGATGATGATGATGATGATGATGATGATGATAATGAGCCTGATGATGCTGCCGATGCTGATGATGATTAAAGTGAGGAGCAGACGGAGAAACATGGAGGAGTACGGAGGAGTGAGGAGGATAATCCAGAAGAGGCCTCTGAATGTTCGGGGAGCGCGTGTCCGTATGTATCCTTGTGGACGTTCAGGGGGATAGCCTAGGCCGCGGAGGCTCCAAAGAATCCCCAAGACGGCCCAAGGTGGTCACAGGACGGCGGAGGGCCCCAAGACGGCTCCAGAGGGGCCCAAGAGGGCCCCAACAGGCTCCCGATAGAGCCCCAAGGTTGCCGTAGGAGGTCCCCAAGGGGGCCGACGAGGGCCCAAAGAGGGCCCCTAGACGGGCCAAGCCCCTCAAGACGGCCCACGGGGGCCCTAGAACGGCCCAAGACGGCCCTAAGGCACCCGTAAGGACCCCAGTGGACCCTCCACCAAACGGCCCAAGACGGACGCAGGTTTGACGCCAAGGTTCCCCAGAGCACCAGGTGGTTCGGAAGCCATCTTCGTTCGAGTCCATGACGTAAAAAGCTTTGAACGCCAAGGGCCCCAGGAGCGAACAGTGTCGCAGAAAGCTCTGAACGCCGAGGTACCCATAATCGAACGGTGACGTATACAGCTCTTCACCCCAAGGCTCCCAAGAGTGACGGTGATGCTCACATTTCTTTACACCAAGGCTCCCAAGAGCGATCGGTGGCGTAAAAAGCTCTTGTTCCTCATCCCTCCCGCAGGGATGCGAAGCATATGAACGTATGATCTCCGAATAAGAAAGACTGTACAAACACACCCTGGTGGAGGCCGCGCGGGTTTCTGGGATCTGTGCTGGCCCCCCTGGTGGCGCCTCCAGCGGCTTCCCTGGCGCGCTCCATGCGCCAGCAAGAGGGACGGGGCCCTGCGTCGATCCAAGCAATCTATGCGCACCTCCGAAAATTTGTGCTCAGGCAGCTCAGGATTCTAGGTTTCAAGCCGGGCACGTCCCTCTACGGGAGGAATTTTCAAGCATAGTCAAACATAGTTTGTGGACGATCTGGTCTTGCCATGCTTGACCATTCTTGGATATGTTTGGAATACTTTCTCATTTTCGCCCAGGGAGTCCGCCTGCAGGGGGACATGCCCGACCTAATTCTACAAGCCTCGTCAAACATATCCAGACATGGAAGTTGAAGTCCTGGAGCACGATGCTTTCGGGCACTTGTGAGAAGCGCGTGCTTCAATGCCGAGAGTGCGGGGTCGGTTTTTGGGCAACACCGCGCCCGAGTCAACAGGCATCCGTCAGCATTGGAGTAGCGCTGACCCCGCAATCACCGAATTCAGGCGGCTCTTTTTTAGGTGCGCGTGCATGCGCTGGGCACTCCCGCCGGGCGGGCTGCTGTAACCCAGCGAGCCTCCAGCGCCCGCCGGTTGGAGCCGCTTTGAACGCTGTTCACATTATACATTTCGTTGTTCCCTGTCTTTCGGAAGCTGGGCAAGGGCTGCAAAATCAGTGGCTGCTAGAATCGACCTCCAGGAAGTCGTCTTCGTCCTTCCGGGAAGGAGCCCGTTGATTGTCTCGCGTGCCTCGCCTCATCCCGGGAAGTGATTTCTCCCTTCCGGGAGGGCTGTTTTAGCAGCCACGGTTTTAGCAGCCCTCGCCCAGCTTTCATCGGGCGACGAAATCTATACATATCCACTGCTCCCCGGCCAGACCCAGCACTGCTCCCCGGAGGGCGTGACGTGTACACCGCTGCTGGGTTCAGAATGGGCCTGGCCAGGGAGCAACGGATCTGTATAGATCTCGTCGCCCTACTTTCAGCCTTTCCCCCTCCCGGCTGCGTCTTCCCAGGTCTTCTGCTTACGTCTGACGAGGCCTGCGGATCCGGGTCGCCCGCGGGGGGCGCGGAGGTGATCGCGCCTCGCGCCGCGCGGCCCGGGCCAGGGCGGCTCTCCCGCTCCAGGGGAGGAGGCGCGCGAGGGCGCGAGGCTGCAGGGAGGATCGCGCGTGGCGCACTGCGGGGCGCGATGCGCGAGGTTCGGTTGAAGTCGGGCGTGCCCCCCTGCAGGAGGAAGGTCCGAACATAGGAACACAAAAACGTCAGGGGACGATTTTCCTAGCATTCTTTGACTATGCATCTGCATTTTCGGACTATCTTGTATTTTTCCTCCAAAATCCGCGTGTAGGGGGACAGGCCCGACCTAAGGTTAGGTGACCTAGATCCTAGATGATGGTGAGCAGGAAGAGGCCGAGGAGCACGAGGAGGGCGAGAAGTTAGTTGATGAGATGGAGGCGGACTGGGAGCGGAGGGGAGAAGGGCGTTGCGTCGTTTGTCTCGGCGCTTTTCGCTCTACACGAATTTTGAGGTCTCGCCCTCCAGAGTTTCTGGTTCGCCCGTCGGCCCTGAACTGTTTGGAATCATCGACGGTCATCGGGTAACCCCCGTGTCTGAACCCTGTCATGCGGTTCTGAACGCACGTCGCGATCCACGGTTCACTGCACTTGCGCGCCTTTGGCAGAATGGCTCGCGTGGTGTCCCCAGCTGTCCTGTCAGTGTTCGCCTGCAGTGCCGAGCCCCTGGCGTCGACCGTCGAGCAGTGCTGTCGAGGGCCCCGCGGCTCTCTCTCGCCCTCCTCCTGCCCTCTCGTCTGGACACCCCCCCGGCAGATCATCTACAGAGACCTGAAGCCCGAGAACCTGTTACTCACGGAGCATGGGCCTGCAGCCCCTTCCCCGCTGTCGCCGCCCTTTCCCGCCAGCAGCCGGTGCCGGCGGAGGGCGGGGGGAAGAGAGAGAGAGAGAGATCCGCTGGAGGTCCTGGTGCCGCAATATTTGTCGCACGCGGCGCTTCCGCCCGGTCTCGTTTTCCCAGCCCCTCGCAGATCGATATGGCTCGGCAAGTGGCGCGGCAAGAGGGGGCCCAGGGCTCCGGTCGTGATTTCTCGCGATGTTCCAGTTTTCTTGCAGCGTTGGGCCTCAGGGGAGGAGGCCTTGGAGGCGGAGGGCGGCGGCATTGGAGAGGCCAGCCCGTGTTCGCCCGTGACTTCCCGTGGATTGGCGGCTCCTTCTTTCCTCTCTTGGGCGGGTCGGGGTCTGGGTGGGCCCCGACTCCAGGTCCGGCGTGACTTGGGCGATCTCGCAAGTAGGGCGGAGATTTCAGCCTAAGCTCGTCTGATGGCGACTTCCGCCTTCCTCTGCCGTCGCTGTTTCCGCCATACCTTCACGTCTGGGGTGCATTTCCGACAGCTGCACGTCGGAAAGTCCAACGAAGTACGGCGGATCCGGAGTCAGGGGGGGTCTGGAAGACGGAGGGTCCTACGACTTCTTGATGCCATGGAGAAGCCATAGCGTCGGGACTGGCGTTCTCGACCCTAGCAGAATGCGCAGTCTCCGCGCAACGCGGCTACGCTCAACCACCATCCCTGGCCAGGGCCGTCTCGGGCCCCAGGGTGTTGCACAGACCTGCCGGTCGAGGCGAGGAGGGTGCAGACGGACACGCACACACACGCACGCACACGCACACGCACACGCACACGCACACGCACACAACACACGCACACCCACACGCACACGCACACGCACACAACGCACAACACACACCACACACAACGCACGCACACGCACACGCACACGCACGCAACATACAACACACAACACACAACACAACACAAACGCAAAACATAACAAGCAAAACACACAGAACACACAAGACACACAACGCACAACACACGCCACACACAACACACGCACACGCACACGCACACGCACGCAACACACAACACACAACACACAACACAACACAAACGCAAAACACAAGCAACACACACGGAACAAACACGACACGTAACACACAGCACACAACACACAACACACAACACACACAACACACAACACACACAATGCACACAACACACAACACACAACACACAACACACAACACACTCACGATACTCACAACACACACATACACGACACACACAACACACAACACACAACACACAGCACACACCACACACAAAACACAATATACAACACACGCAACACACAACACACAGCACACAACACACACACAACACACAACACCTTCATGACACACACACAGACAACACAACACAACACACAGATTGAGCACAGCACACAACACGCAACGCACAACACACACATCCACAACACACAATAATAACACAACCCACGCACACACAACACACAACACAGCACACACACACACCACACAACACACACAACACGCATATCACACAACACACAAACACAACACACAACACACAACACACAACACACACAACGCACAACACCCATAACCCACGCACAACACACAACATACACAGCGCACACACAACACAACACACACAGGACACATCAGACGCACAACATACACAACCCCATACACAACACACACACACAACCACACACACAGCGCACGCACACAGCACACAGGCACGCACGCACGCACACAAGCACGCACGCACACACACGCACGCACGCACGCACGCACGCACGCACGTACGCACCTACGTACGCACCCACGCACACAAACACACACACACACACGCCCGCACGCAGCCACACTCCCATCCACACATACCCACACCCACACCCCTACGCACCCACACACACAGACACCACACAAAACACACAACACACACCACATACACCCCACACACACAACACACACACACCACACACAACACACAACACACACCACACACAACACACAACATACCCACAACACATAGCACACAAAACACAACACACATAACACACAACATACATAACACACAACACACAATACACACACCATACAACACACCCAACACCCAGCACGCAACACACACAACGCTCCCAACACACAACACAGAACACACACACACAACACACACAACACACACGACGCTCAACACACACCCACACAAACCACACACAACGCACACAACACATAACATACACCATGGAACACACACCACACAACACACACACACACACACACACACTACACACACCACACACAGCATACAACGCACACACATAACACGCACAACACACGATATACACAACACACAGGTCTATTCTCCTATATGCGCTTGCGCATAGTGGCTCGTATTTGTTATCCAAGGATTTGGGCCTGCGTGCTGGTCTGGCGGCTTTGTCGCCGCTGTCGTCGCCTCGTCGCCGCCAATCGTCTGGGCCTGCGTGTTTGTCTGGTGGCTATGTCGCCGCCGTCGCCGCCCCGTCGCCGCCTCGTCGCCGCCCGTTGTTTGGGCCTGCGCGTCGGTCTGGCGGCTATGTTCTCACCGTCGCCGCCCGTCGCCGCCTGGCACATATTCTCATTCCTGAAAACAAATTAGGATCTACCGCCCCTCCCCCGCCGGGGTTACCCCCCCTGGGACATTGCACTGTACACCATCGTTCCTTCTTATTCTGAACTCATACCATCCCAGAGGGACCTCTTATCGACCCCCCTTCGTCCCTTTCGAATAATACTATGCGCGCGCAACCGTTGATCGCAAGTCAGCCATTTTCGATAATCCCTTCCAAACAATACGACAAAGTCCACACGCGCATGCCGTCGCTTGCGCATGCCGAAATCTTTCAACAAACGTAAGTTTCGTACGGATTTCAAGATCGAGTTTCTCGTTCACGTATAAAACAACAATGAGTTTGTAACAAGATGCTTCGAACAACGTGCGTATCTTCTTGCAAACCATTATGAAAGCCCATAACTTTTCAGCAGTTTCATCAGATGCGACCAATTGGGCCTCTCGCGCGCGCATATCTCGAAATCATTCGAACGCCCTTGCGCGTTTGCGGGGGCGGGAGGGGGCACGTTCCCTGACACATAATACCATGCGGGCCACTCGCGTCCGTTGGCCACGTGTGCATGTCGAAACCCTTCCAAAACCTTCATCACCAACACGTGGACATCATCATTGCCATCGGCGTGATCAGCATCGGCGCCGTCACTGGCCTTGCCATCCCACAAGGGTCCGTCGAAGGCCATCCGCGAGGCAGCACGCTACTCAGGAGGCCACTTCTCGCGCGGGGGCGGGGGGCAGACTCTGCGCCACCGTCTTTGGTCTCTCCCCCACTTCCACCCGAGGGAGTTGAGGGGTCTGCGGTTGGAGGGGCCCTTGGAGAGGCCCCCGAGAAGAGGATGGAGAACGGGCCGTCGTCGGCTGATGGGGAGAGGGTGGCCCTCCGCGCGCTCTCTCCCGCGACCGCTGGCGCCGCCGCCCCCTCCCCCGCTGCCTTTCGTCGATTGCGGCATCGGCGGGAGCGGTCCCGAGGACCCGTTTGCCTCATGTGCTTCCCCCTTCCTCGTCCTCCATCATCCTCCTCACTCCTCCCCCGCTCATCAGTTCTCCTCTTTCGCATTCCTCCTTCTCATCCGAATCCCTCCCCTCCTCCTCCTCCTCCTCCTCCTCCTCCTCCTCTTCCTCCTCCTCCCCCTCACTAATCATCCGCACTCATCCTCACTTCTCAATCCTTCCTTCACTCCGCGCCCTCTTTCACTCATCCTCCTCACTCCTTCTCGCTCTTACTTATCTCTCTCCTCGACTCATCCTCCTCACTCCTTCTGTTCCGCATTTCCTCCTCGCACCTCCGCGCATGTCCTCCGCAGTCCTCCTTACTGACTCCCTTCCTCATCGTTCCACCGCCTCACTCCTCCTCGTCCTTACTCCTTTGTTGTTGCCATCATTACATCACCACACTTGTCATTGTAAGCAGCGCCGTCATCGTCATCTCGTCGCCGTCATCATCGCTTCCGTCATGAGAATCGTAAACATCATCTTATTAATCGCCATCATCGCTATCGTTCTGGCCGTCGTCGCCGCCGCCATTATCACCATCGTCGTCGTTGTGCCCACCACTGCCGCTATGCAAGGCACCTGAATATACTCAGATGTACGTGCAACTGACTTGTTTGTCACGGTACACAATTATTTAATCGCTTCGCTCATTCCGCCGGCCCATATTGTCGCACCGTTGTGGGCTAGCCGAGTTTTGGGGCCTCTTGGGGGCCGTTTTTGGGCCTCTTGGGGCCTCTTTTGGGCCTCTTGGGCGCCTCTTGGGGCGTCTTGGGGGCCTCTTGGGGGCCTCTTGGGGCCTTTTTGGGGCCTCCTGGGCGCCTTCTGGGGCGGAGGGCTCGATTTTTCAGTTCTCGGTTCCCCTCTTGAGCCCCTCTTGGGCCCGTCTTGGGGCCTCTTGGTCCGTCTTGGGCGGCACTTGGGCCGTCTTGGGGGCCCTCCTGGGCCGTTCCGGGGCCGTCTTGGGAGCCTCGTGGGCCGTCTTGGAGCGGTCTTGGGGGCCTCTTGGGCCGTCTTGGAGCGTCCGGAAGCCGAAAAAGCCAGAACGCAAAAAACATAGAAAAAAACAATGAAAATCAACGATTTTGGCCTCTTGGGGCCCTCTTCGGAGGCCTCTTGGAAGGCCCTTGGGGCGTCTTGGAGGCCTCTTGGGCTGTCTTGGGGCCCTGTTGGGCGTCTTCGGGCGATCTTTGGCCGTCTCGGGGCCCTCTTGGACCGTCTTGGAGGCTTCTTGGGGACCTCTTGGCCCGTCCTGGGGCCCTGTAACAGGGCTCCGGCATCTCTGGCCCGACCTTGCCGGGGACTTGCCGGGACTTGCTTGCCGGGGACTTGCCGGGACCTTGCCGGGGACTTGCCGGGACCTTGCCGGGGTACTTTTCGTCCGGGGACCCCCAGGGGCCGCCCCGCGCGCGCGAACTAGAAATACTGTTAACCAGGTACCGGAGATCTTAGCACGCCCTGGCCCGTTGGGCCGGCGAATATTAAAAATCAACCTGCCCATTTCAATCATATACTTACCAATGATCATATGCAATTGCGTACGCAACAACATGTTCATTACACGACATCTATTGCGAAGGCCTTACGGCTGCCGCCGACCCTGAAGACGACGAAGATAAAAACGAGGGTGAGAAGGAGGAGGAGGAGGAGGCGGAGGAGGAGGAGAAGGAGGAGGAGGAGGAGGAGGTGAGAGGAGGAGGAGAGGGAGGAGGAGGAGGAGGAGGAGGAGGGATTAGAGACGAGCAGAGGAGGGGAGCAAGGGGGGGCGAGAGGGATGATGATGAGGCGGAGGAGGAGGAGAGGAGGAGAGGAGACAGGAGGAGGAGCGAGGAGGAGAGGAGGAGGAGGTAGGAGGAGGGGAGCAGGAAGGCAGAGGGTGAGCGAGGAGGAGAGGAGATGAGGAGGAGGAGGAGGAGGAGAGGAGGAGGAGGAGGAGGAGGAGGAGGAGGAGGGAGGAGGAGGAGGATGAGGAGGAGGAGGAGGAGGAGGCTCCCGGGGCGGAGTCGTATCTGACCCCTTCCCCCCCCGCCCATCCCCCCTCCGGGACTCCCCCCCCCGACGGGGGAGGGATCAAAGGGAAGGGGCTTCCCTTTGACGTGGTTCGACGTGGGTCGATTTCCCTCAAGGCCGCTAGAGCACTGCAACGACGACGACGACGACGACGAGGACGAACAACCCCTCACACACGCCGACACAGGGTCGGCGGATTTCCACCAACAGCGCAACACACTCATACATCGTGATGTATATATATATATATATCACAGCAGTAAAAGTGATACTGATCAGCTATTTGTATTGACGTCTGGGTATCCAGAGGTCCCTTGAGGCCTCCAGAAGTCTCCGTGCAGGCCCCAGGAGGTCCCGAGCTCTGGAGGCTTCCGGTCCAGAGACCTCGAATGTTTTGGGGCCTCTGGGGCCTTCTGGAATCAGCCTCGTAAGGCCTATCCCGATCCCCGCTGGGAACGCCTTGGCCCCACTGTCTGGCCTGCCCCAGTATCCCTCCTCCCCTTTCTTCCTCCTCGTCCTCCTCCTTCTCGCCTCCTCCTCTCTCTCCCCTTGCGTGCGGGGCGCGTGCGAACGCATGACCTGCACGCGCAGCCTCGTGAAGTCCCCGAGATTGCACCGGTGCAATCCGGCCGGGGCCCCAGATTATAGCTGGGTGTGGTCGTGGCCTGCCCCCCCAGGCGGCAAGCGACGCTGTCTCCGTCGGGTTTCGCGGCATCCATCCATCTCCTCGAGGAAGTCAGCAGGTACAGTCTCGCGCGACAGTAGCCGGCACAATCCAAAGAGGCCACGGCCTCGCCCACCTGGTCTCAGCGAGGCCCCGGTGTCTGTCTGCAGTGGTGGCCGTTCGTTTCTGCTCCTCCTCCTCCTCCTCCTCCTCCTCCTCCTCCTCCTCCTCCTCCTCCTCTCCCGTGAGGCACATCAAGCTCACAGATATGGGCTTGGCCAAGGCCGCCGCGCCCTCGCGCTTGCTGCTGTCTCGCCGACCGCTCTGCGGCCCGAGTGGAGAGGGAGCCTATGAAGAGGGCCGCGGGCCGCGTTTCTGGGAGACCCGGCCGCCCTCAGCCTGGAGGCTTTACGGAGGAGGCGCAGGAGGAGGAGGCCGTCCACGACGCCGCCGCCGCCATTGTCGTCGCCGCCGCCATCGTCGTCGTCGTCGTCGTCGTCGTCGTCGTCGTCGTCGTCGTCGTCGTCGTCTTCGTCAACGGTCGTCGTCAACGGTCGTCGTCAACGGTCGTCGTCAACGGTCGCCGTCGGTGGTTTCATTGTCAACGGTCGTCGTCGGTGGTTTCGCCGTCGGCGGTTTCGTCGTCATCGTCGGTTTCGTCGCCGTCGTCCTCGACGCCGACGCCGACGTCGATGGTCGTCGACGCCCCGCGCCGCTGATGGTGCTCTGTGTGCGATGCCGGCCGGCTGTAGACCCACAACGGGTGCTTGCGCACAGCCACCATGCTTGGCGAGGGTCATGATGGGCTGGAATGATACATCGTCGCCGTTGGCGTGGAAGAATACGGGTTCCACATCGAGGCCGCATCGGCGATGCATCGGCAATGCAGCGCGATCCTCCGTCGTGATAACCCCCCCCACCTACGACTAATTCTGAAGTGGGGCTGCGTTCCATGGTAAACTTGCCGAGTGGGCTCCGGGGTGGAACTCTGGGGAACGACCCACGCTCGAGCGCCAACCTCGGAGGCCGCCGAACTCACCCCCAACCCCAAAAGCCAGCACCCCGCCTGCCAGGGATTCCCGCTCGTGGTGCCGCCGTCGGGTGCGTGGGTGCAATTCTGGGTCATCACGAAGTGGGTATGAGCAGAGTCAGACCGCATAGTAAGGATGAGCTACTTTCCAAGGTTACTCTTGCATCCTTGTCCATCCTTGGCGACGTTCAATGGCCAGCCCCGTTCGAAAAGTGGCGACATGGCCTTCCGAGGCCCTTGCATCCTTACCGCGCATCCTTATTATACGGGTCGACTGTAGCCTGGGTACGAGGATCCCGCCGCATCTCTGGTGCATCGCCGATGCCGTTCGATGTAGAATACAGTTTTCTCCACGCCGACGGCGCCAAAGTATCAACGACGTCGCCGATGCATCGCCAGCGCATCGGCAACGCATCGGCGATGCAGCGCGATCCTCCGACCCGTCTCCTCGGACCCCGGCTAGGATGCCTCTCGTTTTTATCAGAGGGAGGGAGCCGAAGAGTCATTTACTTGCCGTGGGTGCGTGGCTGAAGTGGGATTCTGTGGTGCGGATTGTTGTTGCGTTGTTGCGTTGCGTTGTTGCATTGTTGTCGTCCGCCTCGCCCGCGACCCGCCCGCGACCCGCCCGCGACACACACCCGCGACACACACCCGCGACACACCCCGCGATTGCCCCGCGACCCACCCCGCGACCCACCCGCGATCCACCCACGTTGCTTTGACGAAAACATCGGCACCTGCGGCGAGCTCCTTGTGCGATGTGAGTAAATCGACGCCGGCGGCGGGTGTCTTCAGAGCTTCGCAGACTGCCGAAGACCCCCAGGAGGCCCCCGCGAGGTCCCACGACGCCCTCAAAAGGTTCCCAGGCGGCCTCAAGAGGCTCCCAAGAGGCCCCCCCAGAGATCCCACGAGGCCTCCAGAAGGACCCCCAAGAGGGCCCCAGGAAGCTCCTAACAGGTTCCACGGCTCTCCTGCCCTCTGCCCCCTCCTGCCCTCTCCTGCCCCTCCTCGCCCCTCCTCCCCGGCTCTCCTGCCGTTCCTTGCCTGCCCGTCCTCGCCTCCCACCCCCCTCCGCCTCTTCGGCCCTTCCTCTCCCCGCCACCCTGCCTCTCCTGCAGGTCGCTGCCTGCCCTTCCTCGCCCCCCCGTGTCGCCTGCGTCCTTGCCTGGCCATTTTGCGCTCCCGGTCGGCATCCTGCAGGTCAAGCCCAGCGGCCACATGCGGGAGGCATCCTCTGGAAGTTTTCCAAAACACCATACCGGCAACGCTTAGATTTCTCTTCGACGTGCCTGATCACGCGCACTCTGGAATGGGAATCTTGCAGACAATACGGGGCAATAGTCCGTCTCAATGTATTGCCAGGTTACCTGTCCGACCCCGTGCACATTAAAAGCATGTTGGGCCAATTTCTGGCGGAAGTTGAAGTGGCAATCGCACCTGGTGCACGCGAAAGTCGCGTCCACTTCAGCAAGTCGCTTCGTCTTAGCCCACGCGGAAATATCATTGACGGACCTTTCCGATTTAGCATCCCAGAGAGCTTTCTTGAAGCGCCGCGGGTTGCCCCTAACCACGGCGATCCACTCTTCGAGCGACGCGGCGCTGCAAGAGGCGAAGGCCTCCGACGTGGACGACAACATCATTAAATCGTCGACAACTGCCTGCAACCACCCCTCTTCCCCTCTCCTCTCCTGCCCCTCTCCCTCCCCCCCCGCTCCTCCTCGGCCTGCCCCCCCTGCGCGTGCCCGCCGCGCCCCCGCGAGTTCGTCATCGGCAAGACGTACACGACGTGCGGTGCGCCCGCGCCCCGCCGCCGGGGATGCTCCCGGCGTTTGTTTTGTTGGCTCTGCCGGGAGGAGGGGGAGAAGGGGAGAGAGGACGGAGGAGGAGGGGGAGGAGGAGGAGGAGGAGGAGGAGGAGGAGGAGGAGGAGGAGGGGGCGGAGAGGAGGAGGAGGAGGAGGAGGAGGAGGAGGAGGAGGAGGAGGAGGAGGAGGAGGAGAGGAGGAGGGGAGGAGGAGAGGAGGAGGAGGAGGAGGAGGAGGAGGAAGGAGGAGGAGGGGGAGGAGGAGGAGGTGGAGGAGGAGGGGAGGAGGAGGATGAGGAGGGAGGAGCAGGAGGAGGAGGAGGGGGGGAACCCCGACAGTCGGACCGCAGGTCGCAGGACAAGGTGCACCCCGTGCCTCGACGGGGTGCCCCGGCGTCCCTGGGCCTGAGCTTGGCACGGGAGGTCGCCGCTTCTGGCTCTGCCGGGGGAGGGGGAGGGGGCGGGGGGAATGTGGTGGACCCCTAGTCGGCGGCACTGCCAGGGGGGAAGGCACGCGGGGCGGGTCTTTCCAGGAGGCTCAGGAGTTTTCGGCCGTCTGAGAAGTTGTCCGGGCCTTCTCCGAAGCCGCGCCGCCTTCCGCGAGGGCCTGCCCTCTCGCACTTCTCCCCGGCGCGCCGCCGACCTGGTCCGGCGGACTGTGCTTTCCAGTCCCTTCGTTTGTGTTTGTGTCGGCCCAGGAGGAGGAGGAGGAGGAGGAGGAGGAGGAGGAGGAGGAGGAGGAGGAGGAGGAGGAGGAGGAGGAGGAGGAGGAGGAGGAGGAGGAGGAGGACGCGTGGTCATGTTCGCGAACTTCCTGAACGGCGCCGTCACGTGTGCCCAGCGACCGCAGGCAAGTGACCCCGCACAGTAGCGCCGTTTCGACGACCAGGTTGCCGTCATCGGCGGGGCTTGAATGGGCGAGCCGCTGTCGGACCTCTCGCGCGGGGTCGTTCGCGTCCGCGAAGTTCGGCGGAGGCGATTTGGCAAGCGTGGAAGCCAGGACAGACCCAGCCTTCCTCGGCTCTTTGGTTCAGGCGGAGGCCGTGGTCTACCGCTAACATCGCGCAGAGACGCTGACGCGGTCCGAGCTGGCCGCCCTGCTCTTGCACCAAGCGGTGCGGACGGCTATGCCATGCAGCGAGTCAACAGAACGACCCAAACGGAAATGGGTCGACGATCTTTCAGCGACTGTGCGGAGACACCACGGTGGTGGAAGCAATTGTTTTATCTATTTCGGAGAACCCGTCAGAGTGGGAAAGGATTACTCCAAGTTTCTTACTAAGCGCTGGGGGGGGGGCGTCACCCCCGCCGACAGCCCCACATCGACCCCCGTCGCGGGCAGCCACCGCGCGCCGAAGGCACTCCGACCCCCGTCGCGGCGCGAAGACGAGGCGAGGTTAACCCCCGTCGGGGGGTCCCCCCCCCACGCTAAAAAAAAAACCGAGTAGCAAATTGCATGGGTCAGACGACTCAACGAGCGGCACCCTGGCACTTCCTCCCGGCCCCGCATGCGGCCGCCGTCTTGGGCGAACCTGGGGTTGCTTCTTGCTTCTTCTCTCTCCTCCTCCTCTTCCTCCTCCCCCTCATCATCCCTATCATCCCCTATCATCCCCATCACCCCCATCATCGTCATCATCGTCATCATCATCAGCATCATCAGCATCATCATCAGCATCATCATCATCATCATCATCATCGTCGTCATCATCATCATATTTGGAGCGTCTCGGACCTCATCCCTGTGATGGCCACGATTCGGAAGTGCTCTCCGTCTGCGTTGTCTCGGATCCCGTCCTTGGTGGGTTCGAGCCCGACCTTCCATGCCGAGTTTGAGCTCCTGCCAGAGGGCCATGGTAGGTCCAGCCCCATTGGGGACCAACTCGCCAGGGTCAAGCAGTGTATCTGGGAGGCCTGCTGCCAGACCCGTAAACGAATGAAGCAGACGCTAGCTACCAAGGTTGACGAGCAGATGCACTTCGCGTTGGCAGCTCTGCGGAGCATTCGGGCACAGTCCAGTGGAACGTCTCTCTCACTCAGTCGAGCGTTATCCTGAGCTTGCTCGCTTCTTCAATGTCGCCGGCTGCACCTGCCGCTCTCTGCCTCTCCTTTGTGGGCACATTCAGTCGTTGCAGCAGCCGAACCTGAGGGAGTTGGAGCTGGAAGTGGAGCGGCAATCCGATGCAGAAGCCACGACCCGCTTGCGGGTCCAGTTCCAGAGGCGTGAGGAGCTCGGGCGGCCTATGCACAAACGCATTGCGTTGGGTGATGCCCTGGACTCGCACGGGAATCCTCCTGGGCCCGTGCCTTTTGCTGGGGAGGCCCTCGCATCGCACTGGGACGCTGCCTTTAGTGATCATGCGTGCGATGCGGATGTTTGGGACACTCCGGAGTCTTTCGTGGTTCCGATCTCTGGGGTCCCGGGCGAAGACTGGGTGATGCCGCTGGACGACTTTGACCAGATGGTGAGAGGGCGTGGTGACTCCATGCTTGGCCCTGACGGTATTGTCTAACTACTCGTGTTGGAAGAGCCCTCGTCCCATTGCGATCGTGTGTGACCCCTTCTTGCACCTTATAGTCTCGTGGTAATGGGTTTCCTGTGACGATGCGTGACATGCTGTTGGTCTTTCTCGCCAAGGGTGATCATGTTTCCGACCACCTTGCGTCTGTCCCATCTCGCTCTCCTGACGCTTGCCGACCGCTTGCGATGGCTGGCGCAGACTGTAAGCTCAAGTCTCTTGATTCTCGTGGCGGCTGGAACGATGTGTGCGTGATACGGTTTTGAAGGCCCAAGCTTATTTGTCGGGGCGTTCCATGACTAACCAAATCCTTGAGGTGGAGGTTTGGGGAGTCCAGCAATGCATGTTGTGGTGGGACACTGCCTGCATGTTCCTGACAGGTTCTGCCGCAGCGTTTCCGAGCATCGCGGTTTCTTGGCCTCTTCGGGTCTTAATTCTTATGGGCGTTCATCGTGGGGTCGTTGGTTTCTTTGGGGGAGCTGCATCTGAACAATTCTGGGGTTCTGTGCTTTGGTGGGCAGCGGCATCGCTCTATCCGAGTTTGTCGTGGTGTTCGGCAGGGTGATTCATCCAGCTTGCACCTTTTTGCATTGGCGCTTGATCCGTGTATGCTGTGGTTGGCGTCTCGGCTTCCTCGTCAGATTCCCGGGTATGCAGATGATTTGTGGCAAGGTCTGCGGGATGTCGCTGTTGAGCTTCCCTTGCTGCTGCCGCTCATTCAGAGACTGGACGGAGGGATCGGGCTCCGATTGAACCTCGGGAGGTGTGTGTTGATTCACTGCGGTCTGCAGCTGACTGGGCGTTCTCGTCGGCATATCTACCGTGTGCCTGCATCTCTGGGGCCTGGGGCAGCAGAAAGTCAGGTTGTTAGACATGCCAGGTATCTTGGGATTCAGATCGGGCCCGATGGATGGCAACATATCTGGGCTGCTGCTCTAAAGAAGTGCCACCAACGATGTATTGAGATTCGTCGGTGGGGGTTTGGCCTTGCGATGCCTATTCGAATGTACGTGGTGCTTGCTGTGTCGGTTCTGCGTTTCGTCATGCAAATCTATTCAGCCTCGAAGGAGGTGCTCAGGTGTGAAGGTAGCATGCAGCAGAAACTTCTCGCTGGCCCTCGTTTCCCTTTCAACCATGTGATGTGTGCTCGAATGCGGGATCTGGGGTTGCCAATCGAGTTTGCTGATGTTGCCAACGTTGGTATTGCGTCTCAGCTTCGGCTTGCTTATTCTTCGGCTGTTTTGGGAAGCTACGCATGCTGCTCTCATCCTTGTTGCTCCAAGACGGCTTCCATCCTGCTCGTGCTCTCTCGCCCTGGTGGCAGGCGACGTACGTTCGGTCGATGGTGTCGAATTGGGAGAAGCATATTTGCTCTCTGTTGGACGTTCCTTCAGGCTGACGGGTTCCAACAGAAGCCCACCGCCCGCCTCCGTGCACAACCAGTTGTGGTTACGCCGCTCCACTGCCTTTTCGGGCGAATCCAGCGGTGGCTTCCTGGTGTCGGTGTCGACCAAGTCTCTGGGGCCCCCTACATCATCCGTGCGGTTGTTGCTGCAGGCTCCTGCTGTCTCGGTCTGGCGGTGCTACGGATTCTTCCCAGAGGTGCCTGTACTCAGTGCGAGGTTTCCATTATGGGCATGCCAGGTGTTGCTGGCACTGTGGGCAGGAAGGTGCTACGGACTCCTTTGAACACTATACGGTTTGTCTTGGATTTCGGCGTCTGGGCCTAGTCCTCGCCTCTTGCCTTGTCCCGTTTTTTTAGCGAAGAGGCCTGGTTTCACTGTTTGACGTTGGTGCCCCCCCCACCCTTTTCTAAGCAGAGGATCATTTGTGCGTGTCTGTGTGATGCCTTTCTTTCTGTTCAAGTGTCCTCCAGGG